CCCTCCTGAATCAAGATTTGTCTCACACTGGCTTCGTGTATTTAATCTTGAGAGAAGACTATTATAATACAAGCTTCATCCAAGCAGCCACACGTAAGCCACTTTAAATTCAAGTTTTACCACAACAGATTTTGGGTGGTTCACTTGATACCGTTCAAAACTTTCCCCAACACACTGACCGAGCAAGCAGATCAACAATGCATTTACTACTTCTCCACCTCAGTGTCTCACCTGCCCGACATTCAGACGAATTGTAACCCTCAATCCTCAAATATTCAGAAAAAATCCCACTACACACTTGTTAAACCCACTTGAGGCGAGAGTTTTCCTCGTCTGGACTTTTGCACGGGATGGTAATGCCACACTCCCTTTGAGTTTTTCCTCACTGCAGCTGTCAGAGCAGCCGCAGACACAGCATGCCGGGAGATCGCAGTGCAGCTCACTGGAGACCCAATGGGGTTCATGAGGGCATAGAATCTCTTAACATCACTCCTATATCACTGACACCCTCAACTTGCCCAGGAGCCATAAATCTTGAGAGTACATGAATGAGGTGTGAATTGAGAATATTAGCAGTATTCAGAGTCAGGGTGGCAATCCACTGCATTTTGGGTTGGGAGGCAAGGATACCGCTCATGGATAGCCTACTGGTTAGCTGTAGCACTGATGCTCTGGCCATTTCCACGATCAATAGTATGGATCGGTTGAAAATTTCAGCAAGAGTGCTCGGAACTGATGAGACTTCTCTTGCGGCACATCATTTTGTTTGGCAACTAATGTCAGAGCTGAGGCTGACGAAGTGTTCACCAGCTGTCCACTGCTTGTACAAATTAATGAACTTCTCCCCTGCAGTGTGGATTAAAGCGTATGCATAATATCGCCAAGACCGGACAGAATTTGAAGGCAGAGTGAAAACCATGGTGCCCTTACTCAGTGAATGATGGGCATCAGCCTCATTTTGCTCCCCCCTGCCATTCTTACTCTCAGTGGGAAATTTAATCCAAGCTCCAGCCACCAGTGTGCAATCAATGATTGTCACCCATCATTCATGCAAGTCATGGAGGACGTGTGCCATTAAAAGGGTCAAAAGGCTGCCAGACAACGGCAACATACTTCCCAGGCAGACAAGCCTACATGTACAAGCGCTAACAAGGCCATCAGAACATTCATGACACTTAAAGTGAAGCAGCAACAAATTTTTCCTCGACACAGTTTTTCTGCAACTTTCTATACCTCTTCAATGTGTGAAAATTATTTTATAACCCTTTTGGGATAGATGCATTGAAACTTATGCAATTTTTGGAACATTAAAAATTGCCCATTCTTTCTTGGACAACTGAGGGTGGTGCTGCTGTGACGCCATCCAGGAAAGACATGTTTCAGTTTGTAGGTTTTACTGTTCAAATTGGGAACCTAGAACTTACTCACTGAGAAACGTTTCTGTTCTATAGGGTTGCGTGCTTGCTTAATCATCAGAGAGAAGAAAATTTAAAACTCAAAAAAAAACCATTCGGCATTTTTTTTGTGCACAGACCAATGCAACATTGAGTTTCCTTCCCAGGATGGCATCACAGTTTTTGCTTATGAATATGGAAATACTCATTTACATAAAAACAAAAAATGAAGCAAAATACCCTTTGAAACGGTGAAACAAAAATTGGAAATGGGGTTAACTGAGACATTTGGTGCATTTTGGAGGTTTGTTTTAAACAAATTGCTTTGCAGCTCCCGTTGCCTTTAATGATTTGTACAGCTGTGCTATCAGTGAGATACATAAAGTAAAATATAAGCAGCACTTTCAAGACCACCTGTAATCTATGAGTGTGGACGAATCTGAGGAGACGTCATGCTTGTGGGAGCCATCTCATTACACTCAGCGTGCGCACACTTTGGCAAGTCACAACACCCTATTGGTCGACAAGGAGTGTAATGCATACATATATGGCCTCGCAGTAATGGCTTCCAATTCCATACAATCAGGCTCTGGTGGCCAATAAGGCTCATTTCAGGGATAAAAAGTTTAGACTCATACATGCTGTTCAGCACCTCCTGGACATTAACTACTTGACGCCGGATGACGTGTAAACACACGTGATTTTTCCTCACTTGTTCCACGGAGGACGTGTACACTCGTTTAAGAATTCTTTTTTTTTTTCATTTCTGCGGTTGACATATTAACGCGTCCTGCTTGGTTGGGTCAAAGCACAATTGCAAGGGTGGAGAATTTGCAGGTAAAAACCCTCCCCCTGCATCTTTTTTGGGTGAGAAAATCCGACGTTAACTGACGACAATGAAGGGAAAGGGTAGAAGACACTGAATAACAGGAGAGGCAGCAACAAAAGGGGAGGCTACCGGAAAGCTTGGGGAAAAAACCCTTAGTGACCCATCTTCAGATATGGAAAGTTCAACAGAGCTTTAACTATGATGGACAATTTCAAGGATTGACAAGGCGCAGTTCCACCAGGAACATTCCCATTTTACCACCACTAAATTGTGCTCTCCTTTTCTTCTGACTGTGACTTTCAATCAAATGTTCTTATTGCCGGAGACCTAGCATTAAGGCACTTGAATGTGCTGAGAGAATATTCGCTTTTGTCACCAGGAGTCTCACATCAATCCAATCCCTTGTCAAGCCAATCAGAATAGTTCAGGATACAGAGTTCACACTGGAATTTCGGTATGCAGAAAGTCACATCGAAGTCACATGCATCACGTAGAAACACACATGATGTAACAGTATGTTCGTTATTTTCACATGATCTTGGTTCTAATTGGAGGCTGTGCCAAGTACTCAGTCCCCTCCTTCCTCCATGGTCCAGCAGACCGTGATCTACATATTTGCCTGGCACAGCCATTACAAGCACACTCAATCTAGAGTGGTTGTGTAACTATTAAGAGGAGGGGGGTACTGTGCATGCCCCTCTAGATGTGAACAATGCTGGTACAAAAAGACTACAATAATTTAACCCTACCTCCCCCAGTGCAGATTAACATGAGCTCAACTGTAAGATTTTGGATAATGCCTAGAGATTGATGTGACTGACATTGCCTTGATTCAACTGTGCAGGGAACACAAACACTGTATGGGTGATGAGGTCTGTGGCTTTGGGGAAGAGCTAACGGAGGGCTGAGTGTTGCTGCTGGGCTACCATGCACAGGTTACCAAATATGGAGTGAACAACCTGTGGTAAGCTTGACCTAAACCCTTGAGGCAAATTTCCTGGGGCTTCTGAGCCGAAAAAGTTCCTAAACAGAGTTTCCAGTTTGACTGGGGACCAGTTACCAAAAAGCAGGTACCGTATAGGCCCTACATGTAAATATGTATTTTGCCTGTAACCTTTTTCTTGCTAAGCAAGTTTGCTAAGTTTACAAGTATTTGTTTGTACTGTAATATGCAAAATCTGGTTTCTTGAACAAGTTGAAAAAATAAAATGACAGGGCATTTAAAAACCAAAGTAAATAAAAAGACTAGGCCTACATATTAAGTGAAGCTTCTGATATTCCCTTGACCCCCCATTGTCAACTTCTTTCCCAAGAAAGCATTCTCTACAATATGCATTCAGTTGTCCTTGGATTTTTTTTATGGACTCACTAAGCTCAAACAGTCCAACTTTCTATCCAGGACTGAAAAATGGGGAAAACAGGGTGTCCTCATGGTGTCTTCAAAGCTTACCAAATCACCATCCTTCAGGAATAAATCAAGGGCCTGATTATTGTGTTTGGTTTTAAGAGGGATTCCACCTGCTGAGGGACCCTGTGAGGGATTGGCTTGGTCTGCTTGCCCTGTCGGCCCCCAAGGGGGTCATCATGGCACCTGTCATCAGAGACTAAATGCTGCTTGGGATGTGGATATTGGCTCAAATACCAAGAGCTGGGGAAACTGGAATTGAATCAACTTCAATAACAAATCTGGGTTGGTTGAGAGGATTCGGTTGTCACCAAAGAAGCGTAATAATGGGCTGAATTTGAAGAATTTGAGCCAGCTAAACAGCCTGGTGTAATATTTATGATCACAGTTTTTACCATTTTACTGAGGGTGTGTTTTGGTGGAAGGGATTTTTTTGGCTCAGTTGGAAGTACCCCTGAAGATATATAATGTTCATCCCAGCTCTGACAAATGTTTTGAAAAACAGAAGTTTGTGGCAAGTGCTTGTGAAAATTTTCCTCTTAACTTGACCCTCCTAGCCAAGTTATTAGCTAGAACTTAGGTGTTTTTTGGGGGCCTTAAAATGATCTCTTTGAGCGCTGCTTCCCAACAGAAATTCCTTTCATTGAGATGGCCTTGTTTTTAACTGCTGGCATTTCCAAGGTCCCTAAAACATTTTGTGTGACAGACTTGTCCTGGCAACACACCAGCTGCATTAATCTTGTTTAAACATTCCCTGTGGAACCCTACAGATAATGTGGCTCAAGCCTGAAGGTCAAATCGAACTTGCTAATTTTCATAGTTTGCTCTACAGTCTCTGGACAGCCATGGACCAGCTTGTGTTTGGGGGCAACTGGTGAGCTTGTCCTGTGCAGAAATAGCACTGCCTGTCCAATTTATCTGATATCAAATTGACTCAAGGGGGCAAATAATCCAGGGTAATCCGTTGTGCAGTTGTGCCCAAAATTACACTGCTGTAGCTGACACAAGTTTTGCATGTAAGAGGTCATCACCAATGATACCAAACGTTTATCAATTTTTCTTATGAAGAAGCAATGACTGAAATTGACGATGTCATTTCTCCTTTACCTTCGTTTTTTTATATGTGGCTTTTGAACCTTTGTTTTGCTTTCAAGATTGTGGCCAATGCCACTGAAAGCCTCTTTCTTGTAACAAAAAGACACTTTGAGGGACTTTTTTTCAACACAAACCCATGTATGATGTTGAGTGTTGTGCAACAACAAAGCCGCGTCCAGATTACTTGGCTGCGGCTCGAAGTTGCTCACAACTCTATGAGAAGCGGCTACAGCCACCACCATAGACTAAATGCATAATTTCAAGCAATGGACAAGTAATTCAGGCAGTGTTCAAATCAACAGAGCAGAGCTGCACAGCTGGGAGAAACACATGCCTGTGAAACTTGGCCACAGCCACAAGCCAGTGGCTGACTGGCTTCCACTGCACAAGTGCCTGTCTTATTTGCACCCGTAGCCGTACATGTAAACTGAGAAGCAGCCTGGAATCAGCTTCTGGAGGTTTTCATGGAACGGAAGGAGGAATGCCCTGATTGTGTCCCACCCCAAGATGACAGGTCAGAAGTGGCAAGTTAATTGGGTTCTCTGTGACCCGATGTGGGTGTGTGTATATGCAAGCACCCGGATCTGCAGTCTACAGCTAGCTGCACGCTGATGGAACTGAAGACGTCGACAGCGGTCAAAAAGAGGTGAAATCAACCTGTCCATTTTTGAGAACAATGTGGTGGTTCACAGGGACCTGCTTTGCAGGACGGCATCCAGAGGTGCACATTAGGGAGGGGAGGCAAAGGAAATCAGTGTCTTGCCCAGTTTTGATGGCAGCAATCTGATCATTTCTCTTCCATCACCCCTAATTTTTTTTGGGCAGTAAGAAACAAAAACTGCAGATTTATGAAGTACCGTAATTGTTAGCCTTTCAACAGCCACGAAATGTACACTTGTACTAAAACAGCACTGGAAATCACAGCTAACAGAAAAACTGTAAGTTTCCCATTTTGGTATGTTGAGGCCCTTACGGTACTAACTGGTATTAGCGCAGTGGAACCAGTATTTACACAATAAGTAAATGCATATCTGTATCGTGAAAAGTGCCCCCCTACTCTTTTGTAAGTGCCCCCTTACTCCCCCCTCCCCCGCAAAATTTTGCTTTGGGTCATTCCCCATCCCCTCCTACACTCAATGACAGAGATTTGGGGCACTGATTTGAGCATTCTTAAACAAATTTTCTCTGTGTTCCTTGCTGCTTTACAAACTTGCATAGTATCACAGGATGATGTTATTTTACAAACTGAGAAAAACGTCTGTTGAGTTTGAAAGGTTCCTTTAAAGAATATTCTAGGTGTGAGCACATTGCCAAGAGCACACTGGGGATTGGTTTCAAGGAGAGGGGGTGGATTTCAAGGAAATTACGCCTACAAGAGCTTTCCGCATCTAAACCTGACCGATGCCCTTCACAACTCAACCTTTTGTTGGCAAATAGAGTGGCATTTAATAATAGACTTTCTGAGAATCAAAGGTTCACCAGGCACCCAGGATCAATGAACACTGTGGCAAACCATCGATAGACACATCTTTTTTGTTAATTTGAAATTAATTTAGAAACCAAAACTGCCACTTGCGGTTGAAATAACCCCCAGCTGGAGTGAAAACAACAAATCAATTCTGGGTCAACAACCTCTTTGAATTGGCAATGCTCCGACAACCAAACAGGAAATTGTTAAAGGGGAGGGGTCAAAGGATGGGCTGGTGTGGAAGGTGAAGGGTCAAGAGTAATGGAAAAAACATTGTCACAGCTACATGTAAGATTGCACACTGGTGAATAAAGTGCCATTGACAACAATGATAAATTCTCCCTCTTCAAAAATTTGGAAAATACAAGTTTCTCAGGTGTTCCAGCGCATATCAAATTGAAACATATTTCTTCATTGTTCTTTTCATTTTAAATTGTTGACGGGTTAATCGATGACTTGTGAAGATATCTCCATCCTGAGATGATCACCCCTAGAAGAACAGTTGTGAAGCCCATCACCATTTTAAAACTGATAAAAAAAATTCCACTGCAAGACACAGCCATTTGGAAGGCTCAAATTTTGTTCCAATTTCTCAGGCACGCAAGCTGGTACTTTAGTCCTGTCTGTGGTTCAGTCTTCTTTATGAAAAGCCCTCAGTTCACAGACCGCAGACTGCTCCAACAGCAGAGAATTTGAGTGCATGCAAATTGTGACTGGGTTGATGTGAGCAACGTGAGGCCTATTCACTGGCCTGGAACACTATGGCTTCGTTGGCAGACTAGAGGCTCTGAAGACAAGGGGGGCGGGTGAGTTTGAGAAAGGCACACTGGTGGACTACTGGTTGACAGTGATGCACCTTGCCCCTGTGCCTCTAGTCAACATTCAGTCAAATATCATCACAGCTTGGTGTCCCCTTTCCCTACTGTAAGCTGTTAGAATGTAACCACGGTGGTGACAATAACTTAATATGATCATCCATGGAGGGCCAGTCCCCTAATGATTAACTAGACCAGTCCAACCAATACCAGCTACATGTAGTGTGTGTTTAATCAGAGGAAGTCAATTAAGAGTTGGCCACAGGTCTCCACAAGGGTTTCTGAGATGAGTGAAGAATGCTGACCTGTCGGCTCAGTCACACACTCTCTTTATCCATTTTGATTTGAATTTGCACACAGAGGTCAGCTTAGATTGGTTCACTGATTTACATGCAGGCTGTTTCCAATCGCTTTGTGGTAGTAGCCTTCAAAAGGAGCCGACGAGAACCTTGATGGTCATCGTCAGCTCCAAACATGGTTTCACACAATGAATGTTAAAAACGAGTGAAAGATTTCCAACCTTTGGCCACACATCAAACAATTTCCTTATGTCTCTTTAACAGAAAATGCCGAGCCTTATGGTCTTAACTTGGGGGAATAAATTTAAACTTAAGCCAGATCACAGAGATGGAAATTAAACTGAGATTTCAATAAACGAAAACATTGAGAATCATTGTATTCTATTACATTGTCTTTCAATGACAGCGGTGCGGCACTTTGGACAGTGACCATTTTTCCTCAGACACACTCCTCCATTTGCAAATATAAAATCTCTCTGAGAGCAAAAACTCACCTTGCTGTTCGGTGTTTGCGGGCTCCTCCATCTGATCAGAGGGGTGTCACAAGTTGACAGCTCGATGAATGAGGGGAAGCTGGTGCTGCTGCCGACTCCTTCGGATGACGGAGAGGGCGCTGTCACCTCCTCCTTGGAACTGAAGGTGTGCTTGGTGGGTGTCAAGGTGCACGTACTGACTGCAGAGGGCGACGTGACAGGGCCATCCTGGGATGAATGGTGGGATATTGGTGTGTCGTCAAAAAGTTCCAGGTAATCGCTCTGGCTGAAAGGGGCCGCTCCAACAGGCGGGAGATCGTTGGATGATGTCCGCATGCGAGACAGATTTGTAGAGTCATCTTCTGCCTTTGTGTCTCCCACTCGCTTGCTGGCACCACTTGTTGAGGCCGCCTTAGCCCTTTCAACAGAGGACAGCTTGATGAAAGATGGAATGATACCGCCAACCTCTCCACTTGTCAGCGAGGACGTTCCTTCCATTGCCTCTGCCTTGTTGGCTGTTGCCTCTCCTGTTTTAGACTCCGAGGACGCTGTTTTTTCTGGTGGACTGTTTGAGGATAACTTGATGAATGATGGAGTGTTGGTGCTTTCATCTGCCCTTTTAACTTTCTTTGCTGGTGTTCTGTGAGCACACGGCATAAGGAAAAATACATCAGTGCTGTTATTATTCACAAGTCATTTACATGTACCTACAATCACACATTTCTGAGAGAGGCTAACTTGATGATGATTCAACAAAACATCTGCAAAACGAAATGGAATAAACTCCACATCATGTTTTGAGTGGAATAACAAAGGACTGACTTGATACCAAGCCCTTAAGGTGGGTCTCCCAACATCAGTGGAGCAATGACCATTAAACGGCTCAAGTGGGCCCACAAGGCAGGCATCTGTGCATTAACTTGTGTTTTATGTGGTAAGAACAGGTCGTGGATTATGGCTTTTTAATTTCTTTAAGTTTATGTTTTACTTGAACTTTAGAGCAATGATTGCGCGTCTTGTTTTGTGAATGTTGCAAAGAGAGGAAATGAGAAATTAGAGGAGAAACAAAATCTGAAATCCTATTAACATCGGACAGATATCATGCCCAATTCATTCACTGCTGTGCTAAACACACATCGTTACAATGCCAAACCCTTCAACTAACCTTGTATCTGTTTTATCCATCTGGCCAGAACGCTTTGTGGCCATCTTTGCCTTGGTCCTGCTCTTACTGCTGTTGACCGCATCTTTCTTGTGCAGCAAGGGACAATCCTTTCCTTTGTCACATTTCCCCGTCTTGCTGAACCGCACGCACCTTAGGACGTGCTGCTTCTTGCACTACGAACAAAATTAAGAATTATAAAAACTGCAACAAAACCGCAACCCCCATCACATTATTATTCATCTAAGCCCAAAGGTAAATTACATGACTTTCCTTCGATTTCCAAACTCTTTTATTGTTTAATTTATTTTGTTTTTACAATTTACAAATACCTGAGCTTCAAGGGGATAGACGAATCGGTCTATACAAACAATCTTGTTCTGCAGTTGTGGGGACCACACAATGATTGTTATTCTGCCGACCCAGGTCCCTGTAATCTGGTTCAAATTTTTTTAACAGAAGAAACTGTCCCATCAGTGCGTTGTCAGTCGACCCAACAGCCCTTGTGCTCACCCATCATGAGAGTGGAACCCCTTCCTTCCACCAATCAATTCCTTTTGTTTAACCAGCAAGACATCTGTACCTTTTCACCGAGAGGACAGTAACCCTTGATGAATGCCGAGCACGGGATGGCTTTGCTGCTGACCTTGACGTGTGAGTATGGGCAGTCGTCCCTGTTGCAAATGCCGCGCAGAAAATAGGAACACACCGGCATCTGGAGGTTTATCAAAACCAAATGAATTGGCAGGGTCAATGACTTGTACTCTCTGACCTAAAAATCTGTTTGTACATGAATTTAGTTTCATGGATGCTGTTGATGATGGTGAGCTGTAAAAAGCATTGGCGAAAGCATATCCAACTGCCGAGACTTTGCTTCTCTGAATATCAGAACCTTGAAAGCCGGAAATATAGGTGTCCTGAGGTAGACAGAATGTCAGCCTTTCACTCTGTTGTAATGAAATGTGGACTGCGGACTTGGCCCAAAAAAGGTTTTTTAGGGGGGGAGGGATGTGGCTTTATTCCAACTGTCCTTGATCCTCCAAATCCTCCAGGCAGTTTTGGAGGATAATTTTGGAAAAATGGCCAAATTGCCTGACTGATTGCAAAGGATGCGTTGTCTCAGGTTTATGGGCAAGACCTCGTGTTGCTTTGCTCCGCCATGCATGAATTCATGCCTACATTATATATGAAATCCTCCATACTACTCCAAGTTACCACTCGCACTACATCAACATAATGACGGGACTTGCCGGAGGACTTTGAAGAATTGAGGCAGCGGGCAGCCCTCAATGGCGCACACTCAAGAAATATCGGAGGATTTGGGAGGATTGAGGATGAATGCAATTTTCCTGCATGTATATATTGGAGGAATTTGAAGGATTCAGGATGGTACCTAGCAAATAGTCCTAGGGGGTTAGGGTTCCGAAAGACTCTGACCTTTTCTTTGGAAACTTTGTGAGAGAAGAGGCAAGATCCATCTGTCTTGGGGCAGGTGCCACGCAGAAATCTGAAAATGAGTCAAAGACAAAGTGAAGTATTTTATGTATCACGGCATCACTGGAGGCAGCGGGCTAGGAATGAGGTGGGTGGGACCGTAGTGAACAGGGTAGGGATGAGGGAGGGGACGAGGGCAGACCTGAGGGTGGGACTAAGGATTGGGTTGAAGCCAAACGTTAGGCTGAGGGTGTGGCTAAGAGAGGGGCTTGGTTAGGGGAAAGGGTGGCACTGAGGGTGGGACTAAGGACTGGGTTGAAGCCAAACGTTAGGCTGAGGGTGTGGCTAAGAGAGGGGCTTGGTTAGGGGAAAGGGTGGCACTGAGGGTGGGGACTGAGGATGGGACTGAGGATGAAGTCAAGGGTGGAACCGAGGAAGGGCCAGGTAAAATTGAACCCCCTTATCTTACCTAGTGCAGACAGCCACCTTCTCAGGGTCGTGTATGTACGGGCAAGCATCTCCTCTCTTGCACCGACCATACAGATTGTAAAACATACAGTACTGCTTCATCTGGGATTGTTTCTTAGTGCGCTGCTTTGCAGTGAGACTGATGTAAATGCTTCGTTGTAAGACGTGGCTGGTGAGACAAAGAATGGTTGTATAAATTTTTAGACAAGTTATCACTAAGTTGAGTGAGTAAATTGCAATGGATGTATACTACATCAACAGAGGGCGGTGCATTGATATCTTTTCAGTCGCGCAGTCTCAACCACCTTTGTTGGAAAGTTCAAACCTGACCAATCATGTTTTTCTTTCTCTATCAAGACCCAGTGCAATACGTTTTTCTGTCTTGCATAAAATATTCAAAAAAGGTTATTTTGATGTCAAGGGGTAGATTTTTCCAACCAGTGTCTTTATCAAATCAAAGTATTTACAAACCTGGCTACTTTTCTTGTGACAGAGGGGGTGGAAGATTTCAACATAAGCTTGCGACCTTGGTTTGAGGTGTGACGTGGAGTCTCTGCGGTCTTCTTGGAAGTGCTCGGGGTGCTTCTAGGGGTGCTCATGGGGCTACCTGAAGGTGCAGCATGGGTGCCAGACGGAATGCGGTATAAGACCTTGCTGTAACGGTTGATGCGGAGCTTAAACTGACTACCTCCCAGGTTAACCAGGGACCCCGATGGCCTTCTTTCACCTTGATACGTTGAAAAATTTACGCCACAAAACTGATTAAACTTCAAAGAGTGAAGAAAACATTTTGTAAGTGATGAATATCAAGGAAAAAGCATGTCTCCTATTGGAGGATGGGGTGGGGTAGGCGGGGTGGAGGTATTATCACTATAAATGACCGACCTTCTGCTCGCCTGATGAGCTTTGTCTTCGTGTTCTTGACAGTGACGAGCCGTTTGACGTCAGACGTCTTCCTCACTGTCCTTGCCAACGACATCAAGGATGACACCGGCCGGACAACACTGCGATGACCTTTGACCAGGTTGTACTTTGATCTCAGAGGAACCGGTGTATTACTCAGCACTGTTTGCCTCCTCCTATTCCATGACAGAAACAAGGGCACATTCTGTCTACTGGAAATTGACAGAGGTCTGACAAACTGCTGCTTGTGTGAGCATAAAGAAACCTGATTGTCACGAAGACTGTAAATTCATCTACCGGAGACTTCAGTTGTTGATTAATTTTTTTGTCCGACGCATTTGCCGCTGTTTTGAGTACGAGCGGATTTGGATCCATTTTTTTGAGTTTACAATTGGGGATCTCGCATTCCAAATCGTGCTATGTGCATTGAGTGCACAAGGTTTGTTTTCTACAGTTGAATGATTCACTGGGCTACACTCGGGCAACATTCTTACCTTTCCATGAATGACAGAGGTTTGTCACGGGCACTTATTCCCAGAGATCTCCTCAAGGCATAGCGCGAGCTGAAGCTTCTACTTGTTGACAACTTCTTGGGAGACATGGAAGTCGCTGTATGGGTATAACAATTGGACCTTCATTTAGCATTAAGTCTAAACTGGTTATTAAAAGCAATCACAGATGTCAATAAATGAAGTGGAATTTCCTTTGTTACAAAATCCTATCAAGATATTTACATGTACTTGAAAAAAATAGCACATCTGGGATAGGATAATATTGGATGGGAATGTTTGGCTATGCCACCTTTTCTATTGTAGCTGCTCCTGTGTGGTACCCTCCAAGCGCTTGCAGTACCTGACCTATAGCCAAATGAACTTTGACCTCTGTAAAAGCCTCTCCCCCTGCTCCTTCCGGATGAACGACTTCTGAACGCAAATGGCCTGTATCCTCTTGCCCCACGACCTCTGAAGGTCACTGCCCCTCTTGAAGCACGATAGGCAAATCCTCTGCCCCGTGGTGATCCACGACCCCTTGAACTCCTAAATCCGCGACCTCTACTACTGATGTAACCAGGGCCTCTATGACTTGAAAATCCATGGCTTCTTGCTGGGGCAGAAGTGTGATGGGTAGATCTCCGCACACTGCTAGAAGGCTTGACTTGTGGCATCGATCGAAAGGTAGAATAGGAACTACTATGGGTGCTTGACGGCCTAGCTGTAGACGCTGCGCTGGTGTAACTGTAACGAGAGGAGTGGCGATCTGGATCATGCCCGTGCCTCCTTGATGAAGATGATGTCATCTTTGATGACTCAGAACGGTACTTGGACCCATGGGTGTTTGAGCTGTGATGCCTGGATGAGGTGGAACTTCGTCCAGAGCTGTGACTTCTGGATGCAGGGGAGGTCTGGGATCTTGGGGCATGCGTCGACGGTCTCCAGGAATATTTGCTTGATTTTCCCTTAGAAGAAAGGCTCAGACTTGGTGACGATGATCCGACAAGGTAGCCTGACCTGTGAGAACTGTCTTTAGGGCTTGGATAACTCCGGCTCCTGCTCCATGGGACTGAAGTACAAGTAGACAAGCTGGGCATTGGCAGCAAAGACCTCAGAGCTGCCGAGTTGCTTGACTGTGCGGTCTGCCAAGTTGATAGTCCAGGGGCATGCTTCAAGTACTTGTCTTCAATCTCTTTGAGCCTCCTGGCACTGCTCAAATATTCAACAGAGCTGTGCGACAAAGATCTCTTACTGGGCGGCACTTTTTGACGGCCTCCCAGGTAAGACTCTCCGTGTGACTCACTACGACTGTAGCTATCATGTCTGGACGGTTTAGCGGCTGGATATTGTTTATACTCTCTCCCAGTGTATGAAGATCGATTAAAAGTGAAGCTCTTGTGCCCATTCCCATGGAAAGATTCTGCCGAATAGGTGGCTGACCTCGAAGCCAAGTTAGACCGATCGTCAAGGTTTCGCGGCGACCGATTGTCACGCCAACTTTGATTTACACCACTGCTTTTTGATGGCCGCCGTCCCGTAGAGGAGAACTTGGAGCTATCATAGGCTTTTCCGAGATATTTAGCCTCAAGCTCGCTGGTGTACCTTGGAGTAGGCTCAGATGTGGCTTTGCTTTCATATTTGGATGATGTTGATGATGACTTTGGAGAAGTCAAAGAATCTGAAAGAAAATAAGATCACGAACATATATCTCAAGAGATTTGAAAAAGACCAGGTCTGTCACTAGAACATTGGACGGTTTGTGCATGTTTATTACTTTTATAGTTTCAAGTCCCAAACTTTTTATTTACATACAGGTGATGCAGTCCTGTTGAATGACTAGCCAACTTTTCGTTAAAAACAATGGCAGCATATGTGGATTTCAGCATGCTCACTGTTGTGACCCCGAGTCTAATCCCTACAGAATGATTCCCAATGAAGAGAAACAAAAGCGGTGCCTCTCTCGCAGATAAGTTTAACAGCTTTGGACTGGCTTTGCGCCTGAATGAATCATAGTGCGAAAAAAAAGAAGAACAGTTGTGCTTCCAATTACACAGCACACGAAAACAAGGTACTCATGTAGGTGTAGTTGGGCATTCTTGTTTTGTTTTTGCTTTTTTTTATACTGATTCAGTGTGCAGTTCAAGTGTTAAATTAAGAGCTTTAATAAAAAATGACAAGACCATGGCAAGAGAGGTCTGGTGGCATTTGTTAATTTTCTGAACAATCCTTCAAAGGGTACTAGCTGCTTGCATTTGTAAACAAGTCCGTTGAACCTTTTTTGCATCACATTCAAACTAGGCCTACGGTACAACGGACACATTTTTCTTGTGTTATTTCCATTTTAACACTTTCCCAAATCTCCCCCCCCCCCAAAAAAGCTTTAAGGATGCACCGTCAGGGTCAAGATTGGGTACGTATAGACCCGTAAACAGGGCCCGACAAATACTCCTCCGTCGTATACTGGGCCCTGTCCCGATTCATACGGATTTCTTTTGAAAAATGTATCCACGATATGCGGGGGCATAACAAAACATCCGGTTGATTTTATGAGCTGAAATTGAACTGGTATGTTCACTAGTTACGGTGTAAACCAACCGCTAGGTTGTTAATTGTAGAAAACTCGCCTTTTCCTCATTTGAGGAAAAAATGTTGCCTTTTTTGCCGTTTTACCACTCCGGACGGAGTTTGCCCCACTTGCACAAAAGCGATGGCTGTTTCGTCACTTTCATGTCACGTGACAGAAAGCGAGATGCGCTACCAATGATTGGCCGCAAACAGTGTGTAACTAGACAGGGAATCAGCCAAGGGCATTGCATATTAGCTGCGACACAAAACAGCCGTAATTTTCTACAAGTACTTAGATCAATAGGTACTCTCGCAGATCTGAACGAGATCCGTAGGTGCTGAATTCTGGGTGCAAACTAGACAGGCTCTCGTACAGGGTACCATGACTTAAACCATACAAAGGAGTGTGTGTAATGTACAAGTCAGGAGAAAATTCGTACAGAGTGGGAAAATGGCAAAAAAAGGAACATTTTTTCCCCAAAACGAGGGAAAGGTGAGTTTTCTACAATTACTATCAGCAACCTAGTGGATTTTTTACAGCGTAAGTAGTGAACAAACCGGTGCAATTTTAGCTCATAAAATTAAGCGGATGTTTAGTTAGGCCTATGCCCCCGGAAGTCCCAGATAAAGTTTTCGAAAGAAATCCCTATGAATCAGGACAGGGCCCAGTATACGACGGAGGAGTTGAGTATTCGTTGGGCCCTGTTTACAGGTCTAGTCTAGGTTACGTAGGTAGTAGGCATGGTAGGCCTAATTGTGACCCCTAGCACAGGGCCTACACACAATGACACAAGACATTTGCAGTTTTTGCCCACCAGTGGTTGAAGAGGTCTTTTTTAAAAAGGTATCTACGGCATTGCCACACGCCAATTCGTAATTGCGTGCTAACACTGAATTGCCGGTTACTCAAATCTTGCGGGATTTCCCCTTTTAATGCGTCCGAAAAATGGGCACCAGTATTTTCATCGTGTTTCTGTCTAATTTTCATTGAACGGTATCGAAATATTGGCTGGACTGCACATACTGTAAGGACAAGATAACAAAGAAACACCATACCTGTTAATTTCTGTATTTCTTGCTGCAATTTGGACAGCCGCGTCAGGGTTGTTTGCCTGTCCATGAAGTTCGCCATCTCTAAAATTTGAGGCAGAAAACCATCGAAAACGTACTACTTACAAGCGCGATCGTTTTTTAGACGAGCACCTCGTTTTGTAAATAGCGCCACCAACCGCTGAAATTGTCTTCCACACAAAAACACGTGCCGCTGCGCGCCAGAACGTTGGTACTAGCGGCGGTTCGGTGCGTGAGTAAACCTTTCGTGCATTCATTGTGATTTTTAACAAATTAAAATAACAAAAAAATCCTCCAAGGCACCAGCAATGCATAATCTCTATTTGAAATAACCAACTGCCAATTCTTGTTTCTGGCAGTCTGCCTTTCCTTGAGTTACGTTGCTGAATGTTGAAACCGTTTGTTGAGAGGAATATCGCATTTAGCATATAGGCCCCAAAGAAAGGCCTACTGACAGTAGGCCTTACTGTATTTTGAGTGTCAAACACATGCTCAGTAGGCCTGTGTTACTGTTTACCTGCTTGAAATCGGGCAATGAAAACCCGGCACGCTGCACTACAGCTTGTTCTTTAATATACTCTGACTGGCACCAGAAACTTGGAAGAGAAAAACTTGTGGTCTGTGCTGGCACAAGGGTCACTTGTAATTGTATGTCATAAACACTGGCAAAGGTCACGGTGCCATCTGTTTTCTTCCTCCAATCTGTGCATCAACCAGCACGCGGACGGATGACAACCTGCTACAAATTAAAAGAGTGAATTTATTCCTGTTGGCCTATTTTGATTTTCATGCGGGTTTTCTTACTGAAGGTCAGGCAATTTTTAAGATTTCATTTCCTTTCTTCCCAGAAGTGTGCAAAACTGCCCGAAATGTTAACTTCACCTTGGAGAAAAGTCCAAAAAATGGAAAATCACCCCAGTTTTGGGCCCTCTTTCAAAACAACTTTTGCACCCTCCTGCCCCCAAAAGTCATCCTTGATCATGTTGATGGTGTCTTTAAATTCAAATTCAAATCCATTTTTAATCTGTCCACATTACATAAAGGGCGGATATTTGTATTTTCTTGGCATTTCACTCTAAAATGTTTCATCAGTCATCAAAAACACCAGTTACACAATTAGAAATTAAAAAAGAGGACATTCAGAGTAAAGAATATTGAAAAAAGCAGGTAATCTGAGTATGTGTCTTTCATTCAGTGACTACAAAATTAGATATTCCAAGGAGAAACATCAGTAAATGTTACAAGTATTCTGTACCAAGATTTGCGAGAATGTTGGATATTTTGATGTGATATTTCTATTTGATTCATTATTCCAAAAGAGATGTACTGAATAACACAGGATGATTATGTTCCACAGTAAAACTCGTGTCTGAAAATAACCCCATTACTATTGAATAAAATAATAGGGCCTTAAGCTCACAGAATGGCCATTTCCATGAAGCAAGCCTAGCTCTATATACCGGGATGCTGTTGAAGCTCTCCCCACAGTTTATAGGTCTTCAAACTTTTTACCAAAGTTTCTGTTTGTTATTGTATCTAAATATAGTTTCTAGTCAGGCCTGGTGTTGCCCATTTCTAGGTCAGGTCTGGTGTTTGCCTGTAATCCTGGTGTTCCTCATTAGGTCAGGCTTGGTTTTG